ACAGACAACCACCCCCCCCCCCCCCAGCTCCCGCCTCATTTCTGGAAAGCCGCCTGCATTGGAGTGGCAAGTAGGTGCAAGTAACACATTTACGGTGGATTTTGCCTCGTGAATTCTCAAAATTAAACACATACCCTAAGTTTCCTTACCCTAGGAACTGCTTTAACTCATCTACGGTGGCAAACTCCAGAGGACTATTTGGAATCACTGCTTTGAAACAAGAGCGGGATGTCTCCTGCCTTGCTCTGATACACCAGCATATAGAATATCGACCTGTTCTGCCTCATTCTTTCCGTAGTGGTGACCGTTTTCAGGAAAACTCTACACAAACATGCAAATACATTGTTTGTTGGGCTTCAGGGGTGACACATACCATACAAGTAATAAATATTGCTATCAGTATGACCCAGTCGTAGCTACCAAAAGGAAAAAAAAAAAATTACTTCCAGATAAATCCCATTTCAACAAGATACATTTAGAGCCTGTGATACTCCTATCGATACAAACTATTAACATTATTCATTAGCACTGTGAAGTCCAGTTAAACTGTTTATTTTGAAAAGACAGAATGCGTGACTGAGTATCTGAATCAAAAATAAACCTATCGGTAATGATTTAACCATAGTACTACTACATGAACTGCTGCTCCTACTGGAGAAACCAAATGGATTACAGATTAAAATATATTCCCTACGTACAGGTTTGTGAAGTGTAGCCTTAAGAACCCTTTTGTTCACACGCTACTCGCCATTAGTAGTCTCAAACGGTATTTGCCACTCTGTACTCCCTTTCATCATTGGGCTGCAGTTGAACCACTACACTTTCTTCGTTCATTCCATTTTCTGCGTCACTGCTATCAATGTTGTCATTGTCATCCTCCTCGTATTCCGAGGACTCGGTCATGTTCTGATGGGAATGGGATTCTGACAAAGCCCCGAACGACTGGGTGCTAACTGAGGCTAGCGGTCTAAGCAAGGGAGTATTTTCAGATACTTCGTTCTCTTCTTGGCTACTGTCTGTTTCAGAGTCGGAGTCCCCCTGAGAAGGGACCACTTTCTGCTTACATACAGGACACGTTTTTTTTGTTTTGGTCAGCCAGGGGTCCACACACTTGCAGTGATACGCTGTTAGAAAACAAAATACAAGTACATCGTTACTGCAGTGAAAAGGACAAGGAAACCTGCTAAATTGTATTTATTTTTAGGAACACAGGAGAATTTTAGAATTTAACTCATACCAAGAACCTCAGTCCTGAGTTTGCTGGCATGTACACTCTATCCTTATGTACAAAACACCTAAGAGATCAGCACCTCAGCCTTAAGGATACATGCAATAAATCCCTATTTCCTCTGCTGGATGACCTGGAAAACAGTCCTGCCATGGGCCATGTTTGGTGAAATAAACTTCCAAAGCCTCTTGAGGAATTATGCCCACCATCATTACTCTCACAAGGCCTCCAACCACCAAGACGTATTGAAGCACCTCGTCATTAAATACAGTTACGACATGACTTTGTGGATTTTCAATTAGCTCTGCACTTGGCACTGCAACTACACTAGCCTTGTTTAAAAAGTGTATTACTTATGGGATTGAAAACTTCTATCTGGCAAAGAGCAAAGTATTTCCAAGGGCAGGCATGTTGTGTTTCATACCTGTTCAAGCAGGTTAGTAGCGTGTTCTCCATAAAAACTGACCGTGGTGGCTTTGGTTTGGTTTTTTTTTTTATATTTGTCAGCAATCTTTGATGCTGGTGATCACATTTAGTTAACTCTGCAGACCCTAGCTGGGACAGATGCCATGGATCTGTTCTTTCTCTTCTGAGAACTCTTTGTTCATCAGCCTGTTTTGAAATTGTTTTTTTATGACTGAGGATATACAAAGCTCAGCCTGTCACCTGCTGTGTGCGCTGGGGATGTAAGGCTGAAACAGCAGTTACCTCTTCTTAAAACAGTATCTTGGTGATGTGGTATTTGCTCTTACAGTGCCTGGTTGGAACAGGAATTTTTTGAGGAAAAACTGGGTAAAGCTGCACCCAGCCAAAATGGCTGTAATATAGTTAATGCTACAGGAGGTAGAGGCAGGGTCTCGAGCTAGGAAGGATGAATCCTATCTTCCTCGATAGATTTTTACACAGCTTTTATCAGAAAAAGGTTTCAGTTTAGGAACACTTGGACCCAGGCCTCTTCCAGATTTCTAGATACAAGCTCTTAAAGTGCTCTTTGTACTTGCACGCAGTTAAGAGCAGTCCAGTCTTGTGGACAGGAACACACGTGACTACTAGACAGACCGTTTGCAGTGGGCTGCGTTTGAGAAAGACTGTTCAGCCAGTGAACAGCTTGTCACAGTAAAAATATTCCACCTATTTCTGCACTGACTTCCAAGTGCCGTCAAGGCAGTGGTCTGTACGGCTTCAGGCCATGGGACAGACTACATCCCTTCATCCATACCTCTCTGTCACCAACAGCTAAATTACATTTCATGGTTTAATCTTCTTGGAGAAAGTGAAAGCCTGTTTTTTTTAATGTAAAAAACCACATTTCCCTGTTAAATCCAGACGTTTATGGGACAGCATCAAGCCCAGGTTTTCTTTTGTGTGTCTATCCGAAGAAAAATGCCAAGTGGGAATGCTAGCCTCTTCTGCTTTTAAAAAGCAAAGATAAACCTACTCTTTTCCCAATTTATATATACACTCAATCAGTTTCTATATAAATCACTCAATCAACATGTCACTGTGAGTTTCCAACATGCTGTTTTAGAGAGTTGGTTTAATACAAATACCAAACCTAAAATACTTAACTGCTTACCATGAGAACATGGAAGGATTCTGAGCTTGTCTCCATCCTCATACTCATCCAGACAAATGGCACATACGTCGTATTCATCTCCTAGAGCACATAATTGAGAATCAGTTTAACTTTAAAAGATTTGCAACACACCTTTTCAAACACATGTAATACAGGTTGCTGGGCAACATTTGGTCTGAACAAAAAAAACCACAAACAAACCATGAGCCCGGCCCAGGCTGCTTCTCCCCCGAGTCCTCCGTGCCACACGGCTAGAAGTGCGTGTGCCAGACCGAACTGCAAGCTTTCCTGTCACTTGACTAACACGTGTTTGTTCAAGGGACTGCGTAGTTACAGGGTCAAATGATCCAACTTGTATTTGTACATCCTATCATGAGGGCAGTCATCTGCTCCCACGCGGCACTAGGGTGCCTGCAGCCCGGTTATATGCTCTGTGATAAGGAAAGGCACCAATGATTGAGGAAAAAAGAGGTTCTGTGGCCCACCTGGGCCAAGGGACAGACACCTTGGGTGCAGCCCGCAATATACAGGGGGTGGCCCCCAAGAGCACACGCTGTGTGTTTTGGCTAAATGTTCATAACACCAGTCCGCATGCACCAACTCCACACTGCCTTCAGAGCCGCTCAGCAGTTTATGTTTCTACCCTTTTCACAGCGAGCTAAGATCCTGGGCTTCCCTGTCCAGCAGAGCAAGGCAAGTAAGGAGATGTAGATGCTATCAGAAAGAGGACCTGCGAGAAGGTTCGCTCTCTCATACACCAAAATACGTTAAGGCAGACAGCAAGGCCTCTAAGAGAAACGAGCCCCTGTGATCTCACCACCTGAAGGTAAAAGAACGAAAGGCTGAGGTGGTGCATCTTGTTCCTAGTGCTCCTCAGGGCAGCCTTCCCCATCTCCTGCCCACCTCTTCCAGTTCCTTCCAAATTCCACCTAACCTGAGCCCCATCCACCCCACATGTGTTGCTCATCCTCACACCTCAATTCTCTACTCCCATTCCCTGCAGTGTCACCGTAACCCTCTCCCAGCAAGCCTCTAGCACAGCTTTTGGGGACTGTTCCCTGCCGCACAGCACTCCGGAGGTGTGACGCTGCAGATTCCAGTGTGTAGGACCGACATGTGCCAGGGTCCAGCCGACAGCCACAGCAAGAATCTCTGCCGTACGTGGCTCACCCTTCAACACACACCTCTCACACACGGTCATCTGCGACATAACGCCGGTCAGTACAAATTCAGGTGGCTTTTTGGTCAAAGCAATTTCCACATCGCTTCCCAAAGCACTCTCCAGATTACACACATGAGCCCGGGATTAACCAGGGACAAATCGGAGGCACAGTTCAAGCTCCACGCTTGCTCAAAAGAGCTGATACAATATGCAAGTTGTCCCAAGTGTTTTTCTGGGGGGAAAAAGGGAAATAATGGGGCACATTTCAAAACCATGTAGCCACAGCACGCCCACACTTGGGTCATGAGCTTACCCTACGGTATCAAGAAGGCGGCAGATTTCGCGTTACTCCGAAGAGATACCCTTTCAACACAAAAGCTCAAGGGGTATCAGAGCTTTCTGCTGGATCCATCCATCTGCTACATTTCTCCAACAGCTCACAAACAGATGAATTTACACTATTACTGAGACTCTTGCTCTCATCATGGCTTGGGGCAAGACCACACAGGAGCCAGGGCCAGAAACGCCAGCGCTCCTCAGCGCTGAAACTCTCTGTGAATGCTGGAGCCTCCTTCTGTAGTCCCCAAGTCAGCCTCACCTCTGGGACTTCATGCCCCTCACAGAGCAGATTTCATTTTTAAAAGTGACACTTTGCACACATTTTTTTCTCAAATACCCTTTACTGTACTCTGGAGCTTGGCTCAGAACCACCAAAACCGACCAAACAAACAAAAATTGGAGGGGGAAGAAAAAAAAAAACCTCACAGAGCAGATTTCATTTTTAAAAGTGACACTTTGCACACATTTTTTTTCTCAAATACCCTTTACTGTACTCTGGAGCTTGGCTCAGAACCACCAAAACCGACCAAACAAATTTGGGGGGGGGAAGAAAAAAAAAGGAAGCATAGAAATTGTTGCAAAATAAAGTCTTTTTCCTTAAATAAACTGTGTCTGAAAAGCCTTTCGTATGCAAAATTCTAACTACCGGGCACATAGGTAAAAATATTTTCAGAAGCACAGAATTATCCATCCACATCTGTGTGCTTGCGAACAACAAAAGCTGCAAAAATAAAACTGTGAAAAACTTAGATAGACTGCGTAACTTGTCTTCTCTATTAGAACAGAACTGTACTGTGCAAACATATGGGTCAGTAATGAACAATAATTAGGTTATAATCCCATTTGCAAGGAAAAAAATTCATTTAGGAATACAGAGTAAACTGCAGAACCACCTTGATTATGGAGCAGGTTTTTAACAGGCACTGAGATACATCTATTTCCCACTACTGATCACTCATGTGCATCAATTTGCATACAGAGATACATACACCAAAACTCAACACATGATACTTTAAAAATACATTTTTGTCAAATATGACACATGCTCTTACAGCTTATTACTTGTCATATATGTTGGGGCTTTTTTCCACATGTACATAGGGCACTTCAAAGCTGACTGTATAAAGTTAAACTCTTCTTTCATACTTAAACCCTTAAGCAAGCAGCTCCACTTTTAGAAGTCTCAGGGATGTAGAAACTCCCAAATTCTGCACTCCTTGTCAGACCTCTAACCACTCATTTAGGGTCTGAACTTTTGACACTCAATGTAGTACAAACCTGCTTTGTTAATTTTTAATTTCTTAAAAATCTCTTTCTTTTGCAGCATTCCATCTTCACTAAATTTATGACACTTTTCCACAGGAGTGAGAGGTTACACTGCGATTTCATTGCAGTTAGGACTGAAAATCTTTTCAGTTCCAACCTAGTTCCACTTCAGCGTGAAGTTAAGGTAGCTTGGAAATAATAGTATCTCTTCCTCAAAATAAATTCTGCAACACCTAACAATTCACAAAACACCTGTATTTTTTCTAAGCTATTAATCTCTAGAATATTTAGTTTTGCTAACGATTACATTATCAGGCACATTAAATGCAATTGTCTTTTTTTGTGTGTCCACTTTTATACAAAAGACATCAACTCCCACTGACTTTTACAAGATCAGAACGCGATCCATGTTGTAAGGAATCACAACAACTGGCCCCAGAACGCTTGCAGTGTAGAAAACAGATTTTGATACAGCCTATGTTGCATACTGTGGAGTTATTCAAAGGCAAAGCTTGTTGATTCACTTAAGGAGCTGAAAGCCCGGCTGAAAAAACAAACAAGTTTTTTGTCCTGTTTTTCATAAGCCACCGAACGCAGTGGATACCTGGATACTTTCAGCCAGATTTACTTTACAATGCCTGACCCAGCTCCAAACAACTTCATGGAGGAAGGAAAATGAAGAAGATGGCAGCAAGATGTTGTCATACACTGGCTACTTAAGTCGTGTTTCTGGGACTGTTAGGACACACACACAATTAACTGAACACTACATCAACTGATTTTCTCGCAGCAACTTTATCCTTGCAAATTTCTCTTTAAATTACAACCTAATTTAGTCTCTATTTTTATTCTAATTCCATTTCACAGCGAGTCAACGTAACAAAACAAAATTAATACTAGCTTTATTGTCTTAGGATAATTTTTTAGAGTTAATTTTAAATCCATAGCAAGTGGTCATAATAGCATGGTGCTGCCAACCTTTTTTTTTTCCTGTGAGGTTGACTAACACTGGCAAAATACCGTAGCTGCTCAAACTGAACATCTGCTTTGCACGAAGTGAGAGCAGTGCCATTAATAATGCAGGCTGGTTTTATCAAGGGCAAAGAACAGAAAGTCGCTCCAGTCTTGAATCCAGGCATATCCCCCGACACGTCTCTGCCTCAGCAGATCCATTCTCTATTGATACATTCGAGTAATATTCTCCTCATACCTTGCAATAGCTTGTAGGAATGACCAACCAGATTGTAAAACTATCACGCACTTAAAATGCAGAAGAAAAGTAGCAATATTTTTCTACTTTTAAAGAGTAGACTACAACAGAGGATGACTTCAGGCAGCTTTTCTATTTCATTGAACAAGTAACTTACTACAGTGTCCTCATCTTGTCATTAGATCTCGCAAAACATTAATCACTAAAAAGAATCACAACAGCAAGTATTTTGGCATTAAACTTGAATTGCTCTTGCCCTCATAGAAGCATTGGGATTTAATGAAAAGATCACTTCCATGGGAAAGGAGATAAATTATAAACGCAAGATAGTTTCGGTTTTATAGTCTCTGCAATGTCAGGCAACTTCTGTACCACTACTATCCCAGAATCATAGAAGGGTTTGGGTTGGAATGGACATTTACAGGTCATCTAGCCCAACCTCCCTGCAGGGAGCAGGGACATCTTCAGATCTGGCTGCTTGGAGCCCACCCAGCCTGACTCTGGATGTCTCCAGGGATGGAGCCCCCATCACCTCTCTGGGAAACCTGTGTCCAGGTCTTGCCACCCTCAGTGTAAAAAACTTCTTCCTTTTATCTAGTCCGAACCTCCCCTCTCTTAGTTTAAAACCACCACCCCTTGTCCTGCGTTACAGGCTCTGTCACACAGCCCCTCCCCTCACTCCCTGTAGCCCCAGAGCCTCCTCTTCTCCAGCTGAACAGCCTCAGTTCCCTCAGCCTGTCCTCGCAGCAGAGCTGCTCCAGCCCCCTGAGCATCTCTGGGGCCTCCTCAGGACCTGCTCCACACCTTTCCTGTGCTGAGGACTCCAGACCTGGATGCAGCACTGGAGGTGGGAGTTTCAAATAACACCACTAATGCATCACAGTGACTGACTGCTGTGGGTGCTGGTAATGAACGCAACGAGGAAGTTTTGTGGAACTTCTGTACCAATTTTGTGGTATATTAAGCAATACTTAAATCCTCAATCACAGTCTGCATGTGGTACCGGCTGTGCTTCCATGAAAGAAATGTTAGAACTCCTCTATTTCAGTGAGAACAAGGGCCAGGTCAAACTTTTTGTGTGCTTTCATCCCAAACACTACTATTTATTTCAAGTGTACCGAAAATTATCTTCAAAACTACAAACCTCTTCAATTTAGAGGGTTTTTTGGTGTTTAAAACAATGGGGTCTAATTATTTTGACCAAGAACTTGCCTTTCTTAAATTTATGTACAGGAAGTTTCTTAAGTTGATCCTTCCTAAGCCGATTCCTTCTTGCTCTGTGTCTGTCTTGCACGAATTTTGTGATCTGGAAACAGCCATATGTAAGACAACACAAAGAGTAAGTTAAAACAATAAAAACAACAGTATGAGTTTTGAATTACGAGTCTTTGTAGTAAGCTAATCCAAAGGGAACCCCAGCCCAAACTGAATCACCCCATTCACTGCCTTTTGATGCAGCCCAGGACGTGACCGGCTTTGAGCCGCGAGCGCACGCTGCTGCCTCACGGCCGGTTCTTCATCCACCAGCGCCAAGTCCTTCTCAGCAGGGCTGGCCTCAACCACTCATCACCCACCTTATGCTTGTGCTTTGTGACTTCTATTCAGTTTCTAATTCTAGTATCTTAGACATGACATTCTTTTTCAAATATGACAAAAAAAGACGGTGTCAAAGTACACACAGCAACACGTACTTTGTAATTTGCAGAGGTGCTCTACACCTGCTTATGCTGTGGATAAGGTAAACACAGAGTATTAATATTACAAATAGCATTAATATATCCCACTTTAGGAATCCCTGAAAGGCACTTAGATACTTCCCAGTAGATTATTTTTTAGAATGTATGTCTATTATGGACAAATATTGAGGACTATTTAAAACTGTAATTGGTTTTGGCAAAATAATATTTATTTGTCCTTCTGCACACACTTGCCCTGACTTTTCAAGCATATTTGGATCTAAACTGTTTGTTCAGACTCTTTTCACCCCAGCTAAACAACGAGGTGCATGTGTAAACTGCAGCGTTTCTGTTGTAATTACTGCAAAGTATCCAAATCAGTCTCTCACTTTTCAAGCATATTTGGATCTAAACTGTTTGTTCAGACTCTTTTCACCCCAGCTAAACAACGAGGTGCACGTGTAAACTGCAGTGTTTCTGTTACTGCAAAGTGTCCAAATTAGTCTCTCATTCATCTCTCAGTTAAAACTCAGACTTCCTGAAAGAAGTAAGGACAAAAATCACAAATGAAGGACTAAATCCAACCGTAGGATCAAGGATTTGGTTTTTATCAAAAGGTAAAACAATAAATCGGTCAGAGACCAGCAGAGATTGCAAAAAGTGGGATGCTAAGTATTCTGAAAAAATATGCAGCTATACTATTTTACCTTTTATAGGAGACACGTGCCCAACCAAGAACCTGTATAGGTAACACATACACTGTAAAAAGATGCTACTTGCTGTAACAGGTTCTGAGCTTGCTGACTGATTACTACACTGGCAGTAAAAAAACAGTGAGACCTGTGCTGTGGCACCATGGGACCAACAGCTACTGAGCAGTGCACGTTTGGTACGACAGGACACGCTCTCAGTGGACAAAAACACAAGGACATATTCTTCGTGGGGCAAAAAAAATCCCCAAACCAAACCACACCCGTGCAGGGGCAGAGCAACAGTAAGGACAATTCTTTCTAAGGTGTTACACGTCAGGTAGAACATCCTAAGGACTCCTGGCATCCCTTTGCCAAAATTCTGCAAACTGGCTTTATCATACTGAGGAAATAAAGGATTTCAGGTATGTGCAGCACAAAGCTTCAGCTGTTCCTTTACTGTATCCCTTCATTTCACTTCACTTCAGTGACAGTCCTACTATGGTTTGTTTGAAAGAAAAAAAAAGTTATTAAAAGAAGGAACTTACCATAAATATGACTATGAGAATAAGACAGATTCCTACTATTATTAGGAAAGGGATTAAGTAGTACTCCAAAGGAAGACTGAACTCTGGGATTAACACAACATGGCCACTGTGGGGAGAAAAAGTTAACACTTTCTAAATACATTAGAATTTAATGAACAATGAATTAAAGAAAAAATAGGATGCAGGAATGAGAAAAACAGTGCAACTATCAAAAGATACTGTGAGATCATTCTTATTTACTAAAGTATTTTGGGTTACCTGGGAGGTTTAGTTTCAAAGCATGGTAAACTGCATCCTTTGCCCTCTGATGAGACAGTAAATTACAGTAGAGTAACAAAAAACATTCCTAGGTAACCCAACTGGCAACTAGATATCTGATTACTAATATTTATTGATCCTTCAGGAAGCATAATCACATTATTATTCTATTTGCATAAGCAGTCAGAAACACCTAAAAAGGTAAAAACTAGGAAAGTGTTAGTAGTTCTATAACCACTGCTCATGTGGAGCCAGGCTTTACTCAAATAGTTCCAACAGCGAGGTATCTACTTAAGAATGACACAATCTACTTCTGATTAGTCCAGTGAAAGGACAGAGGGACCTGAAGAACCAAGATCATTAGAATAACATGAAACAAAGCTCCTTTTCCATCCTGTTCAGGGTATATATTTTAACCATCCTGTTTCTGCTTTTCTTTTTAAAGTTTTAAACTTAAAAGCACAACAGAAGCAATGCAAACCTAATAATGGATCCTGTTAGGGTCACAAGTGCATCCTGCAGATTCACCTAGCCCAGGAAGTTCTCTGACTTCTCCTGGAACTATTAATAAAGGATGCTTTTTAACCAGCATGTGACTTAAACGGGAACTGACATACCTTGTGAGAGAACACACCCTTAGATCTGAAATACACACAGTCTCACATTTCTGTGATGTCTAGATCACCAGCTAAATTCCTGTGTTCAATGCCATACGGAAATGAAAGGAGTAATATGGGATAAACATAACCCTCTTGCAGGAAAGCAATTTATATTCATTTTTTTAATGCTTTCTGCCCATTGCTCTCAGGCACGAGGTTTCACCTGGAGTATCTACAGCCTCTGTCATCACAACATCCTATTTTGGAGGCAATGACTTAATACAAGGAATAACTCCGCTGCATGTGAGGTAACTTACCCCTTTTCATAGGTGAATTCTTCTTTAAGAGAATTAGCTGAAGTCTCACCAATAAAGACAGAAGGAATGTCAATCTTCTTTAAAACCTCAACTGTACAAAAAAAGCAGGAAAATAAAACTATTATTACACAGACACTCTGTGGGCACTCAAGACACAAGACTTGAATGTTAAGAGACTATCACAACGTGAAGGCTTATTTTAACATACTGACATATAGATGGATGCATACCCATGCTGCATCTTTACATCATCTAAAAAGTGGCCTTATTTCTCCTATCTAAGGACTTTAGTGCAGGTACAGAAATGAAACTTCTTAATGGAATATTTAAATGGAACGTAAAACCAAAACATTTTGATAAAATTTATATAAAACCCCAAAAAAACAAAAGAGAAGGTATCATGAGAGTAAGTTTAAGCAGAATAGCATTTTTACTCAGTGACTTGATAAGGTGTCACAGCTCCACGGAAATCCAGAAAGCAGTAACAAGCTCAGAAGATGCAACACAAATGGAAAATTATTGAACGACAAATCCTTCACACTAGAAAACCTTCTCCTCTGCTTCCTTTATACTGATATGCACCTCTGACTTATGCGTCACATTTAAGGGTCAAAGTATCTCAAGCTGAGCGAGTATCAAAGTATTCAGGTTCCCCAAGGCAAAAGCATCCATGGCTTAATGTCACCTCCCACCACCCAAGTCTGCATTTGTGGTGAACTTCTTCTACACTTTGACTTCTCAACGAAACCTGAAAAGAAGACTGACGGGCTTGGGAGTTCAGTAAAAGCACTTTCACGTAGCTTCCCCGGCTACTCAGGTGCCATTTAGCTTGTCGGAAGTTCATTTCCTGCTTTACTCAATGGTGTTTCCAATTGCAAAGGACTTTTTTTCTGTTCTCATTTATGTTCTTGTTCCATATTGAGCAAAAACCGGACACAGAAATGCCACAAACAAAATAGTAACAGCACTACAGACAAAACCACACATGTACCATAAGACTAACCCCAGCATTCTGACTAGATTACAAGACATTCTGAACATATTCGCTGCAGGAAGGGTTAAAAATGGAATAGCTAGCATAAAAATCAATCAGAAAAATACGGCACTGGTCTCTAAATATTCTTTTTCCAACTGAAAAACTAAAAATATGTACATATAATATGTATTCACATGAAATTAGAATCCATTTGTCCAAAGGAATAGATGTACATCACAGCGCAGCAAAATGGAACCCCTAACAAACACCAAAAAGCGGTATTTTGAAGTCTGATTTCTTTTCAGGAGTAGTGTTTTCTACTTTTCCTATGTTTCTACTTAATAAACAACACACCAGCTATTCTCCACATCAGTCATATAAATGTCTCTCATGAGTTTAACCATTTAACACAAAATAATTGAACTAAAGTTTAAAGGAAGAACAAAAACACTTGGGAGAATGTACAAACAATACACACTTATATTCTTATACAAACATGTCCCTTTTTAAAATGTCAAAAGCAGGATGATTTCTGGTTGAGGTGGTTTTGTTGGGTTTTTAAAAAAAAACAAACCAAAAACCAATTAAAGTGAGAGTTCATTTTAACACTTTACACTGATTTTAACACTGCGCACTCTAGCAGGTGAAATGATTTTCAAACAGGAGAGAAGAAGTGATACCTGTACTTACTGTCGTTGGATCCCATGCTTATGAGGTCGTCGGAATCAACATTGTGAACTATAGCTGCCTTGTATCCAGCTCTCTGTGCGTTTAAAACCTGGAAGCCATACAAAGAATTTATTAGAAAGACTACTTCTTCAAACACAGTAACCTGGCTGCCCTCTCTAAGACAAGGTACACTTTCAGGGACTTGTTATTAGCACAATATCATTTACACTTATAAATCAAAGCGTCACCTTTCAAAATAAAATTGTATTTTTCTTACATCCATATAATTACATTATTTTTCCAGAAAAATAATGGTCTGCAGACAGTTTTGACACACATTAAAAGCTTTCTGTGGGTAGATAAAAATAATATTTAGTCATAATTGAAAATAAAGACACCATCTGAGCAGTTTTTTCTAAAGCTTCTGAGAATCTCGGAATGTCAGAATTCTGTGATCAGCAACAGAGGGGTGATTTTTCTGGTTTAGCGCCAGAATAGAAAAGCTGAAGGCTCAGTTGTAACGTCAACTTACTAAACAAAACAAGCTGTTTTCAGTGAACACACACGTGCCGCATTTCTGAATAAAAAGGTATTACACTACAAGTCTGATGACTTGTTCCTTTCCCAGTGTCTTCAGCAGTAAGACCATCCCATCACCTCGGGGGCAGCGATCAGGCCGGCCAAGAGGACATGAAAACGACAGCATCGTTTGCCTTCTTTCTCCCTCTAAGCCATATACACACGGTGACAGGATTCCCGTGACAAAATATGTGCCATTCCTGAGTTTGATGTGAAGGCAGATCACAGGAGTAGCAGCAGTGAGGCTGCCATTGCAGCTGGAACCTACCTGTCCAACCCCAACACCACAAAACCAAACACATCGCACAGCAGCAGCTACACCTCGATCTCCTTAGGGTTCATCAAAGTCAATCACAAATTGAAAAGCCATGTTTTCCCTAAGACATCCTTTGCTGCCCCTTGGATCAGGGTCATTGTCAAGAAATCCACATATTCTAACCAAACACAAATAATTCTTACTTTGTATTTTTAAAATAGCAAGAAAATACTGCATTTCAAGCGCAGGTCAAAATTTTTATGATGGAAGTACTTTGTACCCATTTAAAAACCACTTGTGCCTGTTTCTACCCAGCAGTGCACTGTCTCCTCTTCCCACCAACCAACCGAGACACAACCATTGGTCACGGGGACTTGGTGTGAGCCACAAGATAATTCAGCTATTAGGAAAAACAAATTGGGAAAGTGGCTTGCAGATTTTGGGTGCTTTTATATTATCTCTGTTCCTTAATCTCTCCCATGACCCCTGGCAGCAAGAAAAGCTGGTACTCTTACTTTAATGCTTTCTCTTACAAAACTGTAGCATCCATCACCTTTATTTACCATGTCAACTGGCTCACAAACAGGTAATCTTAAACTAAATCATACTACAATTCTGCTTTATCTGCCTGTAGACAATAAAATCCTCCCTTCCCTTCACATCAGTACCTACCCAGCTGTTAGCTATAGATATTTTCCTGAAGTGCCGGTAAATTCTTTAAGTCCTTGAAAAAGAGGGAGTGTGGAATTAAAACAATATTCTTACCTTGATATCAAAGTTGCACTCAAGCCTTCGAATTAACACAATAAAAGCACTGGACGAGTTGTCCTTCAGCGGAGGTGGGGCTATAGGCTCACACGCATTCTCTGGTTTTGAATTTATTAGGAATCCCTAGAAAACACGAGCAGAAACAAGAGCTTCATTTCTCTTTGTCTTAATAAAAGGGTTGGCAGACAAGTACAAGGCAATAAAACTGTACATTTTCATACAACAGCTACACAAATTCTTATTATCAACTCAGTCCTGTATTATAGCAAGATCTCTGGTACATCCCTATTTATTTTGATTCATCAGAACCTTTAGGTCTGTAAAGAATTAGAAAATGAGAAAGAAAACATATTTTTTCAATGACATCATCAGAAGTTTATAATTGGGACTTTGTAGTATAATTCAGCATAAAGAGGACTGTATATACTACATTAATACCGTGGAACTGTCATCCTACGACATAGACTCACCAAGAAAAGAAACGTAACAGTCTAAGAAGCACTAACACAAGCTTAGTACGTGGCAATTAAAACAGGGAATTGAAGAAAGTTAAGTGTGTAAAATCAACTGTGAACTGGCACGCAAACCACCTGTTTAACTACGGTAAGCAAAGATTACAGATAACCAAAGTTGCTACACTTCTAGCTATGTCCTTGAGAGCTTTAAACTCTCAGTTTTCACTGACAGGTTAAGATATATAGAGACATGTCATCACCTGTGCAGAAATACTATATACAACTCTCTCTATATACATATAAAACAGTTTAAATATATAGACAAGTTAATACAAGGAGTAAACTTTCAGTGTAAAGGTACTTTTCCTATATAATCTTATATTTCATCCATAAATACCTGTTATTCAAGAAGTTCAATCTACAACAGGGAGAAACGATTTTGTTTTGAGGAATAGATTTTTGTAAGGATAAGAGTCCTTTTGGCAGAGAAGCTACACCAGCAATCTGTTCTTTGCCAGGTTTGTGGTGACTGCCACAACACTACATGGTCTGTAAGAATTCAAAGTAATATCCACTGAAAATCCTACACCGATCCGCTGGCAGCCAAATTCAGGTCCCTAAGGTCCTGCCAATTCATACAGTAAATGCTACTCATGTTAGTAGTTCCGCACGAAGCACCTGCTCCTTTTTAACTACACTGGAGTTTTCTTCATGCTACCACGTTCTTAGATCTCTTCAAGCGAGGAGCTGTGCTCCTGAGGTCACAGGCACAAACGAGCGACCACTTTATCGCTAGAGCACACAAGCCAAGAAAACCTCAAATCAAATCACACAGAGCCAGTGCCAAAGCAAAAATCTACTATAGAATCTGATATGAGTGTGTTTACAAGTTACACATTAATAAATTTTAATCATAAGCATTGAAAAAATACATAATTTTCATTCTAGTTCAAGCAATAACATAGCATTTTTAAAAATAATTAAAATCAAGACAAACAAGGAAAAATAGTTTGGAACTATACTCAGAATTAAAACTCAGTATTTCTACACTGGTGACAACACCTACCTTAGCTGAGACACAGAGGTGTCCAACAGTTAAAAAGGTTAGAATCAAAGCTCCTTATATCTATTTTTGATGTATTAAATTGGCTCTACTTGGGCAAATCACTTAATCGCCCTCTGTTTCTCAATATAGTCAGTAAACAACTACACAGCTCTAGCACCACTTCTCCCCATGATGAAGCCCTCTTCTTGAGGTTTGGCCCACAAAGGAACCCTTACAGTTACAGGGATTCTTGCAGCAATTTATCTCCCTTTGGGATTAAAAGGACACCATGCAATCAGAGTAATTCAACCTTGTATATTGGCATCAGCTTCATTTTTTGCTCATGTTTTACTCACGAGCATTGCAACATCAGTGGTCCTGCCGAGCCAGACCGAGGGGTCCTACAGGCTACGTGCAGAACGAACAGGAAAGCTGCTCTCGGCCCGGACGGGCATTCATGGTCTCTAGAGGTTCACAAATGATTCTTTGGTTTATCTTGCAGAAGTGTTCAGCAGATACAGTCCTCTTACGTCTGCATTCAGGACAGACATTTTGGGGTTGTTTGTTTTACCTTCAAGCCTTCTGCTGGCAGCCTGTAGCCAAATCTAGCAGGTAGATCATCAAAGGTCTGTGTGCCATTTTCAAGGTTATACTAAGAGAAACAAATTTGAAAGAAAATTCAGGTTTGCAATAAGGGAGAAATAGGTAACAAGTGTAAATAGAACTAAACAACACTGCATGTTCCATTAGATAAAAATATTTATCAGACATAGGACTTCTCCTGACAATGTCAATGAAATCACAAGATTTCTCCTTCCATGTCTACCACTCACATGGCAGCGTCATTCTAATCTAGTTGTCAAAACAAGATCTTTCATTAAATTAGCTGCATGTTAAATCCTTCTTTCTACAGTCTACAACTCAAATACCACCGTATTTGAAGAAAAGAAACGACAATCAACCCCAAAAAGCAAAAATCTGAAGGTTTTGGGGCACGGTGATTTTTTTTTTTGATGGTGGTGGTCTTGGTTTTGCTTTGCATTCTCTTGCATACAGGGAAGAACAACTTTTAGCAGCTGGTTTACTGTAGGCAAAGAATAGCCTCCACATGTTACCCCTTCTCAGTTCCCTGCTATTTATCCAGGTTAGGAGCTGAAAACCCTCTCTACTGTTCCGATTTATACTAACTGTGAGCTTTCATTTCAAAACAGAGGGACACTGTAAAGACCTTAAATCTGTGGAAGCTTTGTTTCCTCTTCTCTTGCTCATCTTCTGTAGCTCTGTAATAAGCTGAATGAACACAGAATCCATACAGAATCCACACAATAAATACAAATTTATGTATGCTAAAATTTGTCATGAATGTACATCAGTTGGTCAGCTTTTATTAAATAGTTTAGTGACTCAGAAATTTGTCTATTGATGGTATCACCCGATTGCCTACAGAACAGTTAAGTAAGGACTCTGTTTATTTCGGAGGGACATTTCCTAACAGCCAGACTTCGACAGAGGAACTCAGACCATGGTTCAAAGAAAAGTACTACCATAATTCATCTTAACTCTTTCAGAGGATCGACATTTCAAAGGAGCTTCCTTCCCACAAACTTTAATAAAATTGAGGGGAGAGGTGGAAATTGAGCTAAATTTCAAGGACAGCATTTCTGTGTATTCAGTCTGCTCCACACCACCTCTCCTCCCTGACCACCAGATAACCCAGCTCTGCGACAGTTCTCTGTCCTCCTCCGCCCTCACTGCTCCTTCAACACCCTTCTTCAAAATGTCCTTCCCAAGCTTATGCTACTCTAAGTTTTCCCCTGAATCACTTAACAAGCTCTAGTTTAAGCTACGAGTTAGACACAAACCTATTTATTTTTATCCATTATTTAAAAAACACACTTCATGTGCACACAATAGTATTTATACAAACATAATCCTTCGTTTTAGGCTGCAACTGTGCAAGAACCCAGAAACATAAAACCAGACCTAATTCAGTAGGCAGAAGAATTTCTTTTGTTGGCAAACCCACCACTTCAGCTGGATCCTCTCAAAATTATAACCTGTCTGTGTGCCTTCAACTCCATCTGACACAGTGTGTGAACACTCCCTCTTCTTCCGAGTATCTCTTAAACATTCCGCTGCCTTCCTTTCACAGCAGTTTTACTAAATGTCTACTTCATCTCTTCATTTCCTACTCAAAAGATATTCTCAGAACAGATCTGTAGCTTCCAAATATCCAAGCATAAATGACAATTTTTAGATGGAATTATTTTAGAATACTGCATATTTGAAAAATCCTTGAAGCTAAATACTCTGTTCTAAATTAATTGATACGACATTTATAACCCTCCTGGATATCACTGTGGCTAGCAGAGATTAGAGACTACAGTACTTAGGTTTAATAAGTTCAGTGGCTTAAGCTCTATCCTTTAAAAACACATGCAACTTCATCCATAAAACTACAAAATATAAAAAAAAAAATCGCTAATACATCCCAGCAACAACTTTTACTACTGATCCTATTAACTTAAAATCCTACACATCCCAAAAATATTATCTATGAAAGCAGAGATTATCAGCTATTTAAAAATATATATCTAGTTGCAATATATACATAAACTTTACTAGCCACAGAAGATGATTTTACTTTATTTATATACAGTTACCCTATAAAACAGCATCCATCACCAAAACTTAAAATTGCTGTCTAAACCAACTAATTCTGGAATTCTTTTACAGGGTTATGACCTAGTCAGATTGGAACTTTTTAAATGACTAAGGCAATTAAGTGCTTTCACTGTCATAGTATCTGAGCACACATCACATGTCAGCTCATTTGAAAATGTACAATTTATTTTCATATTTAATTAACCTGTTAAGGCAACCCCATTCCTAGTACAATAAATGTTTTAGCAGGTAACTGATTCATTATCAGAATAGTTTAAAAGAAGATTCAATTTTATAGAGATTTCATCTATGTAGAAAAAAATATTCTTATACTTACTGCTAAAATATCTGCCTCCACAGGTAAAAGATTCAAGAAAGCAAATAACTGAACAGTCAAAATGGTGTATATCTGAGTAGCAGACAACATCAGCATTCCTATTGACAACAGCATATTTTATTTAATACCTGCAACAACAGAAAAAACAGGGAATTAGGGCATACAGTAAACACTCGTCTGATGTCTCTGCAAAGCTTTAGTCTAAAATGCTCAATACCATGTGCCCATGGGCATTTAATCCAACTTGGGTCTTTCAGCTTCTAATACAAACAAGAGACAATTATATGATACGTGTTCAGATGGAGGTATAAATTCTACGGGCTAAACTGCAAAATCAAACATCCAAAACCTTGTGTTGGGCAAGGGAGAAGAAGTTTCAGCCTTCCACACAATCTACAAGTCTTTTAGTGCATGCCAGTCACATACTGAGTGAGGCAAGGTTCTGCAGGGGAAAAGCATGCAAATTTGATTTATTAAACTGTATGACCATGGCTACACAAAAGGGCAAAAGGATAAAAAGAAGTTGCACAAGTAGCCTTAAAAGCAGCATTTCCTAATTCCCAAGTCCTTGAATGTCCATATAAACAGCACCTTTTAACATCTCCTCCCCTCCTTAGAAATTTCCAAGTGTTTTTAAAGAGGTCAGATTCATGTGTATATATATATATATTTTATATAGCTTGCAGCACTGTGGGGGGTTGAGATTTAGTCTTAATTTGCGCTGTTGAGAAATGCAAAATCAAACTGGAGAAACAGCTGACAAAAGGAGAGAGACTTCCAAGTGGAAAGACACGGAGCTGGGCAAGAATCCTGGTCCGATGCCCATCTACTCAACCATCTCTCACTAACTACAGCAAGAGGTTTCAGTCCTGTATGATGCTCCCAAAGTCCAGGATGAATTCCTGCCATGCCTCTCCCCTGCCATCCATCCCCTCTCTGTAATAAGTGTAAACTCAGTGTTTGTTTTCTCTGCTTCTTTACTGACTTCACCCTTTCACTTTCTTTTCCCCAGATATCACACTCTCTCAATTTCAGTTTATTAAAACAAAACTCAACATCAACGTACTATTTCACCAAAGTGCTGGAGTAACTATTTCACCAAAGTGCTGGAGTAACTATTTCACCAAAGTGCTGGAGTAACACGTTCTGCATCAATAACTCTGTACAAGTCACAAAAATACACTTAAATCTATGTCAGCATATTAGAAGCCTTTCCAAGCATATCATCGTTGGCGATGTTTTCTCCATTTGCATTTTAAGATAATGCATTCTAACTGTGTAATAACCGGTATCATTTAGTAGCAGCACTGCCATCTACGGAAGCTGAGAGACAACCCCATCACTCACGGCTGGCACACCCTCACGGCCTGACTGTCCTCGTACTCCCCACGCCGGGCGGGACAGCTGGGAGCACATCAGACTCGGCGGGATTCCCACCCAGACAAGAGACTCTTCACCTGCTGGGTATGGTTTTAAAAACGACAGACAACTCTTTCACAGACCAAGTTTGTTCCAAATGAAACTACTAAGTGAGTGAGGTAATACGTTTTCATGCTTAAACACCCTTTGTTTTTCTTTGAAGAGGACCGTCTTCATGACAAAAACTCTCTAGAGCAAGGAGCAGCAGTGGAGAATTACCCTAACCCAGCCTCCCACAACAGCCTTGTACTTCCTAACTTGGGATACGGCGAGAGAGGAGTGTACAGCCTGGTCATCGTTAATTCCAGGCATCAGGAATAGCCCCAGCTGCACAGTGGAAGGCACTATCAACAAGAGGCAGCCAGGAGGAACCTCCCCCTGAGCTCTCACTTCTGAATGCCTTTCACCACAAAACCCCAACCTAACACTGAACATCAGGACCTCTGCCTTCCACCGACAAGTTACACCTGACAATTTCTTCTTGTACTGTTGCTACAGCTATAATCCAGTCTTACGAGAGACAATGATCAGCCATCTGCAGAGGAACCTCAGATCCCCCTCAGGCTTAGCTAGAATATGATTACGTGCAGGCAATCTCTTAAAAAACACAGAAGCACAAAATATCTTAACTCTCCTTAGAAAAGAAACTCGCATCTAGATGTGATCAAGGCAAAAAAAAAAAATCCAACATTCAAAATTCCAACACACTAAACAGAAACCATGTGATTCAGTGCACTTCCTACTTCAGGGTACAAAGCAAGGAACAATTAATTGCTGCATTCAGCATGAAATCTAACCACCGTCATTGCTGAACTGACACGAATTTCTTGGTCCACAGATGGACAGCTAAGTGTCTCTAGCGATTCCTCTGGTCTTTCAGTTACAAATTACTTGAAATGACATAAAATTAAAATAGTGGTAACACAAAATAGCAGCCACCGGATACAATATTACTCTAATAGTTAAAATAATTAAAGGACACATTTTGAAAGTAGGTGGCACCTGCTTAATAATATTGTTATCAGAACACCTGGATCTCTTCTAACTTCTCTTACTGGAAGAATTAAAAGTACTTCACAAACTATTAAGTTCAATTAGGTCATCCACACTGTTTGCGTGACTGTTGAAAACCTTCAAATCCAGGCTTCTTATTTAGATGGTTCCAAGTGGATTTGTTTTACATTTGACTACGGATATTCCATTCTGAAAATTCTAACTTTGTTGACCTAAACAAGAAATCACAGCCAAGACTACTACATACTCTTTCAAAAATCCAGAAACACCTAAGAATTCCTGTCTTCCTGTCCTATCCTTTGGGTGGGTTCTAAGTAGAAAGCATTGTCCCATGACCTGAGGTCCTCAACATTAATTAATGCAATTACAGCAGAGTTAGGTTTCATTCAAATTGACACTAACATGAAGAACATTAAAATTCATTATTACTAATGGAAGGAAATGGATGGTATTTCTGGTATTTTCAAAAACAATTCTGATGATTCTGACTTGGTCATGCAGATACATGATGCTCTGTGAAACTTCCAACTGGTTCACGGAACAGAAGTTACAGTAACGGGAACCCATAACGAATTACGAAACTCATGAATTTTTATTTTTAAATTAAAGATTTACCAGTTTCATCAGTCTGTGCTAACAACAGGGATGCTGGTGAAACTGAGAGGATAAAGAACAATCGTTCAAAAAATACAATCATTTTTACCTTGACAGAAGCAGCAACACATTTGAAGCTATCACAGTGCATTAATTAACACAGTAATTTCAGCACATACCTTACAACACAGAGAAACCAATAGAATAGTAATGGGTAAGGTTAGAAAATACTGGAATTAGAGCTGTCCTTGAAACAACACGTGCACAGAGTGCAGTCATCCCTGTCTAACAGTTACACATATACAGATCCTTCCGGGTCCAAGGACTATTTCCTCAAATGCAAGCAAAAAAGCCTTACAATTCCTGAAATTCTGTGGCTCATTTGTAGGCCACACTCTTAATGGAATAAGGCAGTTTTGAGCACACAAATATAGGTGAATGCAATTAAAGACTATTCTGTAAACTACACAGAAGTTAAACCTGACTCTGCATTATTCTTCAGCACTCTTCACTTGATTTTCCAGTGTCCATATACACAATTCTCCTTAAGTAACTTGGGGCATTCTGAGCATCGTTTTTTTCTTCCCACTCTGCATCCTAGAACTCACAAAACAAACTAAGCTTGAGAAGCTACATTCCTCCGTCACAGGGCTGACCAGAATCACCAGGTCAGAACTGAGGAGGTGAAAACGTGGCGTGTGCGTACCTACGAGCAGCAAGACAACCATGAAGTAAACACACTAACCTGGGATGCATCAGGCAGGGCATCACTCACCAAGATAAAGCTGCAGTAGTAGTGCTGTACGTGTAACAGAAAACATGTTCCTGATTACACCTCCAAAGAAAGAGGAAAGCAAAACATCTCTTCTCACTTGAAGGTAAGGATGGCTAAATAAGCTTGATAGAAGCACCTACTGCACTTTGTCAGCTCTTGTATCTGCTGTACCCAACACTAAAAATGCCTTGTCCACCTCTTAATACCTTAACAGTACTGTCTGTATTAAAAATAAGTGTTTATAAAGTGTTTTTAACACCAATACACTGACTTGCAGACCAGAAGAGGCAACCCAAGTGGAAATGTTTTTCTGGGTACAGTCCCAGTGAAAAATACTGTTTTGATACTTGCAAATGTGAACAAACCTTGGGAGGGCATTTAAGACAGGTGCCATGAAGAAATTAGATGACTGAGGCCACAGACGAGAACATCTGGAGCTTTTGGCAACTATCCACAAACCAAGCTCCCATAAAGTACATAAAAATGTAAAGTTTTCAAAAGTTTCTGTGTCAATCAGCTCAAAACAGCAGAAGACAAACAAGACAACTCCTTGTCTACATGGTTATGCTCACGCTTTGACTCTGACTAGAAAGCTGCTACTCCCCCTCCATTGGCAAAACAAACTAACTTGCACGTCTGTATTAAACAAACTTAAATTCTATTTTAGGGCCAAACAGGATTGTACAGCTTATAGCAACCACAAAAGTTATACAGATGTATAGAAACTTTGTCCTAGCACCAATCCAGTGACAACTTTCTAAATATTCTGGTAGATCGAGCTGTACCTTCCAAAATTCCACAAGAAGTGGATGAACTTAAGTTACAGGTAATACCAGTTTTCATACATATCCTCAAAAGCCTCAGTGTCTCTGGCTTTTTGATGCCACCATGTCATTACCGATCTGAATCTCCACCCCAGATCCACCCACCGAACTGAAAACTAACGCACACAAAGAAAGTCCAGCGCTCAGATCCAGTCAGACACAGGAATCACTCAATTTGTTCTTATCTTTTCACTGACAATTGGGTAGCCAGCCAGCCAGACTCCAGGTTGCTCATCACCTTCCAAGCACAACCAGTAGCTCAGCGCACAGGCAGCAGCAGAGGAGAGGCCTAAAATGCCAAAGCGAGGCTCAGGCCTCCACCCGCCCG